AAAGATTGTTTTTAATAAATTCAGTTGCTTTAACCGAAAAACCAACATAGTGAAGAATACTGAACAGAAGCTGATGGTTGATTGTATCAAAGGCTTTTATTATCAAAGGGTACTTTTAAAGAGATTGTCATTTTTATGTGAAAATATTAATGAAATCGTTACCCTGTATTATTTAGAATCAACAATTGAGGGTTAATATCTCAAGGCCAGAATAATTTCATAGTAGTCTAGTTTTGTTGCAAGTCATCATGTTATTGATATCTTTTATATTTTATACAGGAGAACCCAAAACTCACGAGCATGATTTTTTCGGTTATTTCATAAACTACTTAAAAAATACTTTTATTTTTGTTTATTTATTTATTTAACAAACAGGCGTAGCCTAATTACATGTTTCTATTAACGTAATAAAAATAATTATTAAACTAAATATGACAAAGTTATACACACACAAAAATACAAAAAAGTCAGGATTATTCACTATCAAATCCGAAATGAAATTAAAACACGCCAAGACTGCAAAATTTACCCTATATCTGGTTACCAGATATATTTAATTAATAAGAGAAAAACAATTGTTTTACAAAAAACACAATATCTGTGAAATATATAGATAGAGAAATATAGAAACAGTTTATTGATATATCTCTTTTAACTGCCGTTTAAAGCTTAAAGTATTTGTGACATTATTATCTAAGGTTAAATTCAAAGTATTATATAATTGACAAAATTTTCTTATTTGTTTATTGTCTGTAATTAAAAACAATAATTGACGAGGACGCATTCCCGGTGGTGGGACATAGAACTTAATTTGAGATACTAGGTAAGAACTATCAGTTAAACAATTTGGTAGTTTGTAAAAGAATATTATATATTTTCAAGTAACCTAGTTGAAAATTTTTTGTGATTTTTTAATAATAATTTCTCAATAAATTCCACGGTAACCTATATATTTTATTGTAAAAAACAAAACTTAAATATTTTAAAAACCTTATTTTTAGTTTTTTTCTACTCCATCTAATCAATAAATAATAGTAAAATTAATTATAATTCGAAAATTGTTGTTGAAGTCTTACTTTCTCATAAGACACTGTACAAACACACACATTTTTTAAAAAAAAATTCTTAAAAATTTGCACGGTAAGGTATAGTTAAAAGTTCACTATTAGATAAATAAGGACATCTACTATTAGAAAAAAATTAATTTTAGTCATAATCTAATATTTTTTATTTAACATTGGTGGCGAAAGGACTTCCTTTTAAGATGTAGAAATCATGTGCTCTAAGAGGAAAATCGCTCCTTATCAATTACTCAAAATGAACTTCATCCATCAGCTGATGGTCTGCATAGAGGCAACATGATGCGGCTTCCTAATTATAATGAACAGAGGCTACCACAATTACCACTTAGGTCTTTAATTTTTTCTATATACTTCAACAAGGTTGTTGTTGTTGCTACGCAAATACCTAGGTTTATATAAAATAAAACGGAAGGTTTAACATGGGATATCTTTACTTTTTTTGTTACCTTTATCTGAATTTCTTGTTTTTTTTTCTGAAAATTCTGTATCTCTATGGCTATAAAATTTGAAAGTGCTAACCAAAATATAAGACCAGTAACACTGCTAATTTATTGGTAAGGTTTCGACACTACATTTATGTCCCATGTGTTTTCTTAATCAAGCACATCTGGTCTTAAGCCTTAAAAACTTCTAAAAAATCTTTTTACCCGAAAATATTGTGTCATTTCAGGTTCAGCTATTTGCGCTAGTGAATTATATGATGAATCACTATAAAATTGTCTTGTTAAATAGTCTAACATGGACTTCCAACTACAATTTTAATCGGGAGTTATATTTTTTAGGCATAGTATCCGATATCCATTAGAGTTTAAGAATAATATCCCTGCCACCAGGGAAATTATTCCTGAGAAAGGATGGGTTATCCTATCAAAAGAAAGTAAGTCCTTATTAGGAGTAAATATCAATGTCTGATCTACTCATAGCAATAAAAATAACCGATACCAAGGCTGAAAGTCCCATAATGATACCACCACCACGACTTTCACCTTTTCGATTACTAACTTCTGTAGTACTCATAAAATTATATTAAAAGGTAGAAAAGTATAAAATTAAAGATTTTAACCAGTTAAAATTGCATTACTGGCTACTGCGTTCGGGTCTCAAATAAGTTTTTTACGGGATACTGGAACGAGAGGTTATTCTTTCAAAAAAACGGAAAAACTGCTAGTCACCATTCCGTTTACTATTCTGAATAACGGAAAACTTTATCAGCTCGATAATTAAATTTGGAAAATATAAAGAGGCAACGGTTCACACCATCGCCAAATTGTATGAGCAAGAGTATTTAACTTCCCATTCGGTTAACACATTATAATGATAGTAGTCACAATGTTATCCTTCTCGGTACAGTATATTAATTTATGGTTTTTCATCTGTAAAACATTTTAACCTGAACAAAACTGATAAAAGCTGTAGAAAATTTCTATGATACTCTTGTTCAGATTCTGACCAATAAACCCATTGCAGAACACGCTCCATCCCTTCTTGAAAGCGTCTGTAAAAATTTTAACATTAAAGAAATCTTCACGAATATGATATCTACTATCATGTAATTTATTAATCCAGCATGACAAAACATTTGCTAACTCTTTAGATATTTTCATTACTGATTTGTAATCCCCTTTTGCTTTTTACGAGCTAAGAACTTTTCTCACTCTAAGATCTTTATATAAGGTAAAGAGTATTGTATTGCTAGATATAGGCAGAAAACTAGTTTCTCCTACAATTTATAAAATTCTCTAATGGTCGGTACATCTTTGTTTTTCTGAAAATTATTTTATAATTTTTATAATTTTATATAAGAAAACTAGTATAAAAAGCTAATTTTTCTAGAATTCCAATAGTTTCTGAAAAACTTAATACATAGTGTCTCATATGAATTGCCTATTAACAAAAATCATCTATGTAGACGACATAATATATACAAACTCTCCTTCTTAGGAAATAAATTAGAGGCTTCGTCAGTTTTGTAAATACAAAGGGGGCAACACTTAACCCAAAAAACAGGCAATTTATACTCGTACAAAGAGTTGTTTTACATATTAAGGTTCAAAGATATATTCCTACCGATATCAAAAAAATTAACTCTTGTTCTTTATTTAAAAAAAAAAGTTATAAAATGCATTTCAGGGGATACCTCTTATTAAACTGACACAATTTTTAAATTTCGATGGTGCTTGTTATAAAATTTTTTTAAAAAAATTTAAATTGTATTTAAGAATATTTTGTAGTAAATAAGTAGTATTTTATCTATTATGAATTGTAATTTAATATTTTTATTTTGTAATTCAGTTTCATTAGTTTGTTGTATTAAAAATTAAACTCATGCCCACGCACAGGTACCTAATCCTTATGTTAGAACACCAAATCTAGACCTCGCAGAATCCCGACATTACGTAAACCGATTTACTATTGTGTTGGAACAAACCTTAGGTATCACGAATAAATTTAAATATACCTGTCCATTGAGAAGGTAAATTACATAAAAAAAACGACAGAGAACGTTGTCAATAAATATCGCTGGTTTATAGAAATAATAATCCCAAAATCTTCACTAAAGAACGTTTATCCTCTTTTTCGTTCGTTTAGACGAGTATTTCGAACAGCCAAATGTGCACGTTGCAGTATTATAGACCACCGCCGACATAATTCTTACAATTTTGATCGAACTTCTCTAATAACCCTCGTATACACATCTTTTTTCGAATGTGTACATAATCGAAGAGATTACATCGAACCTTCCGCGATTAATCGAAAAATACGATCGAATAAAAATTATGTAACAGCATATAAATTAGAAATATAAACATCGCATCCTCTAGGAACAACAATCTCGAAATTTACGCGATGCTAAAACTGCTAAACTGTCAATTTATTAGCCAACGAGTCGCAGATAAATTTCATTCTAAGGCAAACATTTACTCGAGGGCCAGTGAATAATAACGCGAGTCGCCGCGAGCAAGGTGTGAAGTGAACCAATATTTAGATCGACTTGTATATTTTTACTCGGGATTTTAATGGGCTACAACACGCTAAATGTTCAGCTTCTTGTTTACTAACTGCTTTTCTGTAACTTTTATTTATGCCCTACGCTTATTTACTGCGAATCTGCGAAATAATAGGCGAACGGATACCACTTTTGCATAATATATTAAATACAGGGTGTTCCAAGATATCGTTTAGATGCAATATGTTGGTTATTTGTAAAAAATGAAAAATAAATCGAGAACTGTATCTATTGACATTTCAATACCCTAATGATGTTTCAAAAATTTCAATTAATTTTACCATCCTATGAAAACTAACTTTTTTTTATCAAAGTGCACCTGTTCGTCGAAAATGAATTGCAACTTTATTTTACATCACGACAATTCCAGATAAATATCCAGCCACAAAGTGTGATCCGTGTGTGTCTTAAAAGGACATCTAGGCTCTACCGGTACAGGAGGGAGAAGGGCCCACATATCAATACAATTTTCGCGAAAAAATGTTGCTTTCCACAGTTACTATTTGCTATTAATGACGTATTTTTTAAAATTATATTGTAGATAATATTCAAATTCTATATAGGCACAAGATTTAAAAACATGTTAGTGATACCTCCCATGTACCCCAACATTATTAACCACCCGACTGTCAATTGTCAATACACCTGGCAAGTCAGGACGGACGAACGGCGGGCGGAGGAGAGCAGCGGAGGAAAGCGGCAGTCTTAGCTTGACCGCGGAACGCGTAGCCACGTAATACAATATTTACATAGTGTAATCCTACTAAATAAACAGTTTTAGTGGTTTAATGACTTTTATTGAGCTTAATTATCCCTTACTTTATCATCAGAAGTGCGATAGTACCATGTCCAGTGCCATATAGACAATACGAACAAATAACAAAAACTGTGTCAACCAGTAACTTCTGAAAATGGAGGACGAAAATTGTGCAAATAGTGCCTTGCCAAACGCTGTACTAGATTCGGACGGAGGTGTAGCATCACCAAGTGTTGATCCTAATCCTGAACTTTTAAAAGGTACAGTACAGTGGCAAGAAACCTTAATTAATTTAATGGCTGCCCAGCAACAACAAATCGCTGAATTAACAAAACAGACAAAGATTGCGATGATGTCATCGTCATCTTCACAGGCAACGCCCAACCTTCTCGTAGTAGATGGATCAAATACGCAAGCGTCGACATCAAATTACACATTTAAATTAACCAGCTACGATCCGGATAACAGCGCATACGCCATTCATGAATGGTTAGAAGATGCTACGAAATTAAAAGATGAATTAACTGTCAGCGATAATCTAATGATCGCAAAGGCAGGCGAGACCTTGAAAAACAGAGGTAACCGATACTGTTGTGAATGGCGGCCAATCCGCCGAACTTGGGAAAATTTATGTGCAGATCTCATCACTGCGTTCCCAGATAAAGAAACAACTGGGGTACGAGCATTCAAAGCCGCCACGCTACGAAGCCGTGATTGTGATTCTTTATGTGATTATGGGAATCAAAAATTTCGTAGTATACACAGATTCTATGAAAATTTTCCTTGGGACAAGATCCTAAGTATGATTGAATTCGGGTTAGACCACGCGGAAGCACGTGCCTCGCTACATATACAACAACCGCAATCTGATCGTGAGGTTATGACAATACTAAGTGAATTTGATGCAAGGCGGATTGCAAAACGGCCTTTAGAAGTTGAAGAAACGTCCACAAGGAAACACCATTTGGGAGCCAGACGAGACGTAGACCATGAAGGACCAAAAAAGTTATTTAAGGGATCATGTTACAGTTGTGGTCGTCAAGGACACCGACATACTATGTGCCGTAATAAACAAGAAAACCCGAAAGAAATTCAACAAAACATTTCAGGTTCCTTAAAAATTCCACCTTGTAACCACTGCAAGAAAATTGGCCACAACGAAAGTAACTGTTGGTATAAAAACGGCAAACCCAAGAAAACATTTTTACTTAAAAAATGACGCCACTTAAACACAACACCAATGGCGACATTATTGTGTAAAAACAGTGTTCTTTGTTTTCCTTACCTTATTGATAGTGGCGCTGACGAATCAATAATAAAACATTCTGTAGCAAAAACATTAAACGCGACTATCAAAACAGATGGTAAGGTGCGTGCGTATTCCGGATTTGGGACAAAAATTGTTTACGCTATCGGTGTTTGTGATCTAATAACTGCTATGCCGATGTTGACTTTAGACATTTGTTATGCGGTCGTACCAGATAATGTTATTCCAGGCAACATTGACCTTATTATTGGATGGGACGTTATTAGTCGACCTTGTTTACGAGTTGAAAAAAACAATAATGGGCTCGAGTTACACCATAACCTACTCAACATTTCTAACGTATTGACGTTAAAAAGTGTAAATAATAATAATAATAATATTGTGATAAATCAACTTGATTTAAAAGAGAACTTGAAAATACGGCTAGAAAATCTCCTACTGTTTTATAAAAATAAAACTCCCGATCATATTACCACCGGTGAAATGACAATAAAGTTAAAAGACACTACTCCAGTGGCATATCGTGCTCGTAGGTTGGCATACCAAGAAAGAGTGCAAGTTAAAAAAATAATTAATGAACTTTTAAATGCGAACATAATTCGTGAAAGTCGATCGGAATATGCAAGCCCTATAGTGCTAGTATCAAAAAAAAATGGTGAGGTTCGAATGTGTGTGGATCTTCGTGATGTCAACAAGAAGGTAGTTAAAGAAAGATACCCATTGCCTCATATTCAAGATCAGATAAATGCTCTTTGCCATGCAAAATACTTTACTACATTAGACATGAAGTCTGGATTTTATCAAATGCAAATTGAAAAAAAATCAAGGCACATCATGGCTTTTGTTACGCCAGATGGGCATTATGAGTTTAATCGAATGCCTTTTGGCTATGTTAATGCTCCAGCGATATACCAACGGTCCATTGATAAAGCATTGGGTAATTTAAAGGGGACCAAAGCGTTCGTTTACCTTGATGATGTATTGGTACCTTCAACCACTATTGAAGAAGGATTACAAAGCCTGGAGGAAGTACTTAACGCGCTATCCACACATGGGTTTGCTTTGAACTATAAAAAATGTACATTTTTTGCCCAGGAGACTGAATATCTTGGTGTTGTTTTAAGTGCAGGATCAGTGCGGCCCAGTCAGCGTAAAATAAATGCCTTGACTCAAGCGCCTATTCCGACAGATGTTAAAAGTGTACGACAGTTTATGGGACTTGCTAGCTATTTTCGACGGTTCATTAAAGGATTCTCCGAGTTAGCTGCACCAATAACAGCTTTGTTACGAAAAGACTGTGTGTTTAAATGGTCTTGTGAGTGTGAAAAGACAAGACAATTAATATTAAATAAATTGACGAATTCACCGGTACTACGAATCTATGATCCGAATTTATCTTGTGAATTGCATACAGATGCAAGCTCAGTTGGACTAGGAGCTGCACTGTTGCAAAATGAAAACGGTATAGTTCGACCTGTCGCTTACTTTAGTCGCCGTACAACTGATTATGAGGCACGATATCATTCGTATGACTTAGAGACACTAGCTATTGTTGAAGCTGTTGAACATTTTAGAGTTTATTTGTATGGTGTACAGTTCACGATTTATACAGACTGTAATGCAGTGCGTGCTACTGCTCTTAAGAAAGAATTGCATCCTCGTGTCGCGCGTTGGTGGGTCAAATTACAAGATTATGACTTTTCGATCAAATATCGGCCTGGAAATAAAATGGCTCACGTGGATTATTTAAGCCGTAATCCAATAGACAATGAAAGTATTTTAAAAGTATGTGCGTTGAAGACGTTAACTGTGAATAAAATATCAAATACCAACACCTTGCGAGAATTCCAGAGAAATGACGCTTTTTGTTCTGAAATACTTAATGACGTGAATAGTAATGCAGATTATACAGTTATAAACAATATTGTTGCAACGAACACGAAGACCCCAAAGTGTTTTGTGCCAATTGCTGCCCGACTCTTAACGATGCGATTATATCACGACGAATCATCGCACATAGGATGGAACAAGTGTGTTTCCAAAATGAGAGAAGATTTATTTTGGCCGAAAATGGGGCAGTGTCTAAAAAAATATATTAGAAACTGCAGAGCCTGTGTTCTGGGAAAATCACATACTGGCCGTAGAGCTGGAATGTGGCAACATGGAAATAAACCAGACGATATCCTGCATACGTGGCATATTGATCACGCGGGCCCTTTGGTTAAATCAAATGGGGCCACCCAAATTTTAGTAGTAATTGATGCATTTTCAAAACTTTGCCGTTTAATGCCAATTCAAAAGAAAACATCAGAAGACTCCATCCATGCCCTAAATTCGATTTTCAACGAATTGGGAACCCCGAAAAGAATCATTGCTGACAGAGCAGCTGCATTTACCTCGATAACGTTTCGAAATTTTTTAAGTGAACAAAATGTAGAACTTCATCACATTGCTACAGGAGTTCCGAGAGGCAACGGTCAGGTCGAACGTCTTATGCGCACTGTATTCAATTTAATGCGAGCAACCCTGACTGCCGAAAAAGAAAATAAATGGACCATCATACTTCCTGCTATAGAAGATAACATAAATTCTACAATTCACTCAATAACGGGTCACGCACCTAAAGTACTGCATCATGGCACAAATCCAAGATTATTGGCTACTCAACAATTTTTGGGAGATGCGCCGGCAACCGATAACTTTGTCGATCCAGACAAGGCCGTAGCCGAGGCCCAAGTACGTTTGCAAGAAAGCGCCAAGAAGCGGGCTCAGCACTTTAATGTCTCGCGCTGTCCAGCGAATTTGTTTATTGTTGGGGACCTTGTGGCTATTGAAGATTCCCAGCTGGCAGGCGGAGGAAAATTAAAACCAAAATATAGAGGGCCATTTACTATTCGTGCAGTACTACCCAACGACAGATATGCACTACATAAGCAAGGACGGCGGACCACTGTTGCCGCTCACGAACAATTACGTCCATGGCCTTCCAATAAATAACAAAAAGTGAGTAACGTCTTTGTTACCTGTTTTCTTATGATTAATTAAAGTCACTGCACATTGAAAGTGAATAAATTTAGCTTCAACAAACAATAATTATAAAAAAAATGATTGAATAGTAAAAACTATTCAAGTAAAATAACTAAAAAAAAAATAATAATAATAATATTTTAGAAATATCTAAAATGATTAAATAAAATAATAATGGCAGGCAACCCCATTCCATTAACGATTAAAAAAAAAAAAAAGAATAATATTTTAGAAATATCTAAAATGATTACGTAAAATAATAATGGCAGGCAACCCCATTCCATTAACAATAAAAAAAAATATAATAATAATAATATTTTAGAAATATCTAAAATGATTAAAAAAAAACTAATAATGGCAGGCAACCCCATTCCATTATCAATTAAAAAAAAAAAAAAAAAAAGTAATGATATTTTAGAATGTCTAAAATATTCAAAATAAAGTAATAATGGCAGCACCATTATCAATTAAATAAAAAATGAGTAATGATATATTTTAGAATATCTAAAATATTAAAATAAAGTAATAATGGCAATACCATTTATCAGTAAAAAAAAAAATAAAAAATTTAAAAAAAAAATAATAAAAGAAATAGTAACAGAAATAATGGCAATCCCATTATCATTAAAAAAAATAAAAAAAAAAAATAAACGATTATATTTTTGATGTAAAAGTCAAAAATATTTTAATGAAACATTAATAAAAAAAAAAAAAAAATTCTTTGCTGCTTTCTAACATTTCAGAAATGGCGCGAGGACGCTCCAGTAGCAGGTTGGCCGTGTTAGTGATACCTCCCATGTACCCCAACATTATTAACCACCCGACTGTCAATTGTCAATACACCTGGCAAGTCAGGACGGACGAACGGCGGGCGGAGGAGAGCAGCGGAGGAAAGCGGCAGTCTTAGCTTGACCGCGGAACGCGTAGCCACGTAATACAATATTTACATAGTGTAATCCTACTAAATAAACAGTTTTAGTGGTTTAATGACTTTTATTGAGCTTAATTATCCCTTACTTTATCAAACATTTAATATATTGTAATATAATATGAAATAGTTGTGTTTGATTTTATTTTAATTTTAATATAATTTAAACCTATGACAATTTTAATAAATTGAAAAAGTTTTCATCAAATTGTATTTAGACACTTACTTTTAATAATTTTTTTGATTTCTTGGAATTTCGAATTTCATTATAATATACCAGGCGGACGGTAAAGTAGTCCGCGGGCGATAAAGGGGCACTTTACGCCCGCTAAACGTATTTATAATCTGGACTTTATCGCCCGGTCGTGCATAAAAACAGTCAAATTGTTGCAACGTTCCTTTTTGTCTAATACTTTGTTAATAGTTTTTAATATAGTTAAATTTCTGAAAATACACAAAGGCCCAAGATTCGAACTCTGTGGTACTTCAGATATAACTGCAAATAATTATTATTTAAATCCATTGAAAATTTTACTACTCTTACCAATGTGTATAAATGCTTTTACCAATTTCAATACTTTTGCACATTTTGTTTAGAAATTGCCGCAATCAGAAATTCGATACGATAAGAGAAAACCCGATTTTGAAATATCTCCTGCGACATATCGAATTGGAAAAGCATCCCCGAAGATTCGGGAATAATTTCCCATGCATTGGAAAATCTGTTTTTACATTTTTACCCTTCGCAAGGAGGAAAATGGGAGAATGCCTCCCCGAAGTGTCGTTAGAGGCAGATGAGTTACTTTTCCTTTTTTTTTATTGTCCATTTCCATAATATTTGTTGCTTCTGATTTTTGATAGGGTTTACCGTATACGGATAATGAAATTTTAATATACAAGGGTTTCTCGGAAAGTTTATATTCTCTTTAGCGTGATCATCAACATTTATAGGACTCAAAATAAGTTGTGTTCTCGCAATAACAAAACAAGTTCACTA